GGCCTAATTCGTCACTTTTAGCTTTTTTGAAAAAGCTATTTATTGTTGGGAAATTATTTAATGCCGCCGCCACTCTCTCTTCCTTTTCTTTCTTTTTCTTTCTTTTCGCTGCCCCGCTGGGTGTTCGGCTGCTACCGGCACCATCCCTTTAGCTCACGTGACACAATGTCAATGTGACATGAGTGAAGGGGGGGTTGTGATTGGGCTATAGACCGCCGCAGCGTAGTAATAAAGTTGAGCGCATACATAGTAAGACCTACAGTACAGAGACGGTTTAGAAAATATATTAATTTGACCCTATAGAAAAGCCGAGTTATTTATTGCGGGCGGAGAGTGAGTTTCATTTAAAACAATGTATGATGAGTGAGGTTGTGCCTTGTTACTGAGGGCCCTCTCTTGCTCAAGGGCCCCTGGGCATTGCCCAGTGTGCCCTGTGGTCCTATTTGCCAAGGCCAAATGGCACAAAATGTGCCTTTAATTGTAACCCATGTTGCTTGGTTACAAATTCATTACGTTTGATCATGTTCTTAAAGGCGAGCCAAGATTAGAATTTAATCAGACAGGAACCACAAATAAGATCATATAGAAATTAGCTTCAGGTGACACTTATATCTAACAAAATACAGTTTGAACTCTCAAACACTCTCAAACTGAACACATCAAGATTGTAGTTGCCGAAATCATGCAGACTTTTCATAGAAAATACTACAAAAATATATTTTAAATTATATTTGGCATATATTAAGTACGGTGGCTGACAGGTGCAACTACCCAAAACATTGTTGGCAGAGTTAGCTTGTTCATAAATGGAGGTGTTTTATTAGAAATGACTAGTTCAGCTATAGCTAGCTGGCTTATAGCAGATCTGCAATAATATGGGAAGGAATCATGCCATCATATCGTTAAATTATCCAATAATACGTACATTTTAGGGAACTTTACAACAACAGTGATATTTGGCCATCTTTATAATCCCTGAACGATAACTAGTGCTCTGGTCAAATTGCCAAATATGTTTTTTTCTATTGCATGTGTTTTGGCACATTATTGTTTTTATAATAGCCGCTTTCACACCAAGTACTTTGCCGTACTTAGTGCCGGCACTTAGTGCCCCTGCACTTAGTACCCCATGGAACTAAGTACAGATCGCGTTCACACCGGAATAAGTTCCCTGAGGGAAGATTACGCAAATGAGCCGCTGACGTCACTTCGTCTTCTTCTGCTTTGGGTTTACTGGCAGGCCGCAAACCACTTCACGGTGTATGCTGCCATCCGAAGTCCCCGGCCGGAAGTCCACGGAGTTGGGGACTGGCTTCAGTAGAAGCTGCTGGGACTCCCAGCAGCTTCTACTGAAGCCTTCCGAGTAAATCGCCAGCACGCCGACACCTCCTCATCACTCCACCGCTCCCATGTTTTTTTTTGTGTTGCCATAAGTTATTCTCTCTCCGTTGGTGCGCAGGGCTAATGCTAATGCTAATAATGCTAATGCCAGCAAATACAATGGCGGCTTCACAAAACTTTTCAGAGTTTTACGGGGCGTGGTTTGCAATTCACCCAGCCAATCGAAATTGGTACTTTTTTCCCCCCAGGATAGTACCACCTCTCTAGCAGGCACTAACAATGTAAGTACTCTTTTTGGTGTGAACGCAAAATAAGGGGTACTAACGGAACTAAACGGGAAAAGTACGGGGAAAAGTACTCCGGTGTGAACACGCCTATTTGCATTGTTTCTGAAGCTGCAGCTCATGGAAGTGTTTTGGGCCATTGTAGCGTGTTCGCACCTCTTGGCCACGGTAATTAAGAGATAACTGAAACATTTGAGACACAGACTTTGAACCTTCAAATTTCAAAACAAATTGGGGCAGTTAAAACAACTGCAATACATAAAGGATAAAGGAAGGGGGAAATGTTTTCCTGTAGCTTTTGTTGTGGACATGTGTGATTTTTTTGTTTTGTTTCACAAGATTTCAGGCAACCATGCAGCTGAAACATTAGCTTGTTGTGAAGTTCAGCTGCAAACAGCTGTTCTCTCACTAGAGGGCAGACCTTGATCATTGTGCATAAAGACACATTTGTTTAACAGGCTGATGTAATATATGTGGTATAATAGTGAGGTAAACCTTCAATTTGACTGACAGGTCATAATTAAGTACTGTGAAAGCATGTTGACAAGACTTGAATTCAACTTCAAATAAAAAAGCAGTCTTTACATCAAGCATTGAAAGTAAATGCTGAATTATAATATAGTATATAGTTGCTTGACTGACTATATGCACATTTGCTGCATTAATTAATATCTTCTCTCAATAATTTCACCCTTTATGCTTAACCTTCTAATTCAGGGGTGTATATTGTACCTTTAACTGCACCACGTTTTTGATAATCACTTTGAATATTCATATTAATAATATATAATAAAACTAATAATTGAGCATGTGTTAAAACAGGTATAAGAAGATGTTTGCAAGCTACTTTGCAGTATATATATTTAATAAAAGCTCCTCTGTTATCAGTAGTAATGTTAAACTAATAAACACATAGTGCATTGATAACTAAAATGGACCTTATTTTATACTTTTACCTCATTAAGATTTTGAAGATTTGCTCATATACTTTTAGCAGAGCCTTTATATTGTTACCACTTTTACTTAAGTATATCTGAATACTTCCTCCAATTTCCAATACTGCAACAGACAACTAGAGGTACATTTATATTTCTGATTTACATTCTTCTTTACTCACCTGGTAGTCATTCCTAGTGTTTACAGTATACAGAATTAAAAGATGGTATGAATGACTATCTTAATACTGAATATAGTGATGCAAAAACATCAGCTCAGGCTACAGATTGTAGACAGATGTTGGCTTGTTGAACCAAAAAGTTACTGTAATAAATGAACGCAAGGACAATAACTTTTTAACCACAATACAGCCTTGAAAAAATGTTTGACTTTCCATAAGCAACACTGCTTCCATCTCCTCTCATGGTATTGTTGGGTAATTTGCACATCGTAACCTGATTGGAGCTTTAAATAAGAACATACACACAAGCATGCACACTCGCATAGAAAATTACACGAAAGCACGTGTAGAATGAAAAGAAGAGGGTACCCCTGGTGTTCAACTGTTCATTTTTGCTTTCAGTGTGTGTGTAGCCATTAAGTAAAACACCTCCTCCAGATGTTTTCTAGAGTATAGCTCTGAACAAATTACAGACTCCGATTCCAACTAGAATCCTCCAGAATCTTTTCTTTTCCTCAGTTTTTTCTTAATTCCTTCACTTCTGTTTTAGTTTTCCAGCCTCGTCTGAGTTTCTTTCTTTCGTTGCTTATCTATTCCTGCCTTCAGTACTATGTCATATTTTATTACAGCATATAAGATCAGTTTTTGCTGTTTACTTTCATGTTTGTATTACAGGAGAATACTGCCACAGAATTGTTGATAATTATGGATTCCTGCCATTCCTGGGCTTCACCTTGCACAACCTAACTCCTGACATTTTCTTGCTTTGCAACTTTTCTTCCGTCTCTTTTCCTCCCTTATTTTAGCTTAGCTTAACCAAGCATCAGTGTTAACATAGTATTTATTCCCATCGAATCGCCTTAAATCGCCTTTTAGTCTCCAGATAACATCCATTTTATTAGCAGCTGACTTTACCCGCCACAGGCTCAAAGATCACACACATTGACCTCTTGCAGAGGAGACCGTCGTCTTATCAGAGGCTGCTGGTTGTTGATATGCGATATGTATCAGTTGACTCGGCTGGCACCACATAATGAGCTTGGCGATGGAGAATGTCATCATCTCTTGATAATTCCCATGGTACAAATCCTGTCAGTGATGAAGTATCCCAGTATCTTCCCCCAATAAAGCAGGAAAGGGCTGCTGGATATTATACCATATATTCTACACTGCTACTGCTTATATAGAAAGGAATAATGTTGGTCAATTGAGGTAAAACATCAATCCCATGGGCTCGTTATGGAGAGGAAAAATAAAAAACATGCTGTGTCCACTTACTTAACTTAAGTGAGAACTGGATTACTCAGAAAAATAAAAAGCCCCCAGATAATTAGGGTCAAAAGAGGGGAAATGTTACATTACACACCCTTTGCAACAGTTTTTAATATTTGTGACAGCAACATTTTCACCTCAGGAGCCACAAAGTCCCTTGAAACTCAATTTGTTTTACAAGGTGCGGTCACAAAACCCTACAGATGTGTAGTTAAGATCAACATGAGTTTCAATTTGCGTGGTCTGAACGTGAAAAGGGCACATTTTGTCCCACCATTTATTCCCCCTTGCCTGATTTGTCCTTGCAGAACTTTGCGTGTGGCTGATATCTAATGAAGTTCTAAGATGGGTGTGGTCAGAGCAAGGGCGCTGAGGAAGGGAGGTAAGAAATGGGAAAGCACTCTTGGCCCTGTTTGACGTTGCTGCTGATTGGATGGCAAGATGGTTTCGAGTTCATTTCTTGAAAAAGTGTTAATTCAAAAATGATAATGAGGCCTTAAAACACTTGGGAACACACTTCTTGAAATATGAGTTAGGGTTACTTACAGCAGTAGGCTACGCCACACTGTCAGGCGTTAAAAGGACACTTGAACACAAAAATACCTGTGCTTTTCTTACTGATCAAACGTGTGTTTGGGTTATATTCATGCTATTTTAAGCTTTCATCTTGAAGCTTTTAACTTTATGTGGATTAATCGTACTTGCTGCCAAGAAAAAAGTGTCTGAAGCTCTATGAAAACAAATAAAGAACATTAAAATCCATGTGCAATGTCAGTTGAATGAGGGAATGGGTTTTAAAATTGAATAGATCCTGTTAAAACAGTTTTAAAGCCACTAGAACTGCATTTGTGTCGTTGCATTTTGGATATAATATCTTATTTCCCTAGAAAAGGGGGCTTGGTCTGATAAGACTGGGTGGGCTCCAGCGCTGTGGAGGGGACCTACCTACCTGCTGCTGTTTCCCCGGGACAGGGTGGCGTAATCTGCCGGTGGAACTCCGGGCTCCACCTCCTCTCTCGGGGCTGAGTTACCACTGCTCACCGGACACACAGCCCACACAGTCGGTGAAGCCAGTGCGTGTGTGGGGGTGTGTGTGAGAGAGGGAGAGAAAGGAAGCAAGAGAGAGTGAACAAGTTGACACAGATAGAAGGGGGAGTCGCAGAGAACTACTGAGCAGGTGAGTGCTCCATCTTCCTTCTATGCTAACATTTCTGTCTGGAACCCAATGACGCTAAATCCCTGTTGTGAGGAATATTACCGTAATATTCCGACAGAGGCAACAAGTGTCTGATCATGTCTTTCTAAAGCGAATTTATATAAACCCTATAACTGTAACCTGTTCCTCGTGGTGCGCTACTACTACTGTAATATTCATTTTTTAAAGTAGAAATGTGAGTTTATAAGTGACTTTGTGGCATTTTTATGCTAGGCTAATTATTTTTTTCGCGCTGTGAGCTGTTGGCATGTTTTCGCAGTGGACCACAAGCTAATGAGGTGAGAAAGTGTTGGTGAGAAAACACCGCTTCTCCAATTTGCAAGACTTCTGTAAACATAAGATCAACTTGAGTTATAATGAAATGGTTATATCATTGCCAATTGTTGTTGTTATAAATAACCAGCAGGTGTGTAGCAAGACAGCAGAATATTCACTCCTACCTACTGCAGTCATTGACAAATGCTACAGCTGTGTAATGAACATTTAACTTGACCATTAGTGTAAAGTAACTAAGTAAATTTAGTAAATGTACTCAAGTACTGTTCTTCGGTACAGTTTTGAGATACTTGTACTTAACTTAAGTATTTCCATGTTCTGCTATTTTGTACTTCCACCTCATAACAATTCAGAGGTAAAAATTGTATTTTTACTCCACTACATTCATTAAGTACCTTTAGTCACTTCGCAGATATGGATTAATGATACAAAAAATATATAATCAACAATTAAATAAGACTTTAGTTACAACTGGATTAAACTCACATGCAGGGCCGGCCCTAGACATTTTGGTTCCATAAGCGAGATTTGGTGCCCCCCCCCCCCAAGCAATACACAATAGAATATATAAAGAATAAATAAAAAATCTCTACAAAAGACCAATACACTACAGCAACTGAAATGTATTGACATGTTGGTTATATACATAAAGAAGGTTTCAAATGTATTCATTATTGTATGAACATGTTTTAATTGGGGGGTGGACGTCACATCCTCTAGGGGGGTCCGGGGGCATGCCCCCCCGGAAAGATTTGTTTTATCATTTTAAAGTAAAATGCTTCAATCTGGTGCACTTTGAGCAGAATTACTAGAGAAAACACCCATATGAAAAAGATCGGTTTACATTTTAATAATCAAATAAGTATGTGAACATAACCAATAACCTACCATAGCCAATAACAAATAAAACAACATTTAAATAAAAAAATTTTTTTTCCCAGCGCAGCGCCCCTCCAGATCTGGCGCCCTAGGCGACCGCCTAGTTCGCCAGTGCCAAGGGCCGGCCCTGCTCACATTCTACAGTACCAGCAGTAAATAAAGAAATTGAAAGTAGTTCCACTTTTACCAGCTGTGATAATCATACATCAATACTTACAATAAAAACATACTCTATATCATTCAGAAATAGGCCAAACAGCATAATGAGTACTTTAACTTTTGTTACTTTAAGTATATTTTCATGGTAATACTTTTGTACTTTTACTTGAGTCACACTTTGAATTGAGGACTTTTACTTGTAACAGTATACCTACTACTTTTACTCAAGTACAAGATCTGAGTACTTCTTCCACCTCTGAAGTTGACCGACTACCACTGGATGAGTCACTTTGAATATTTTGTTTTTATAAATGATGCTGAAGCAACAAAGGCAACATGACAAATTCAGCACTTCACTTAAAAAATATATATTTTCCTTTTTGTATGTTCACTTTCAATTTTTGTCTTGTACAGTGTAGGCACTTGGAAGTTGCATTCATCTGAATAAAAAAAACAGTTATTTTGTGCCTACCTTAGATCAAAGTTAAGTGTGTGTTTGGATCATGATTCTGTGAAATCAAACCTTCATTGGTAGCCAATTGTTCATGATGGAATCTGCAACTTGCACAAGTGTGATGCTCTCAGAATGGAAACAGTAACATATGAGACACCATCATTTTGTAGCTAAATAGTTGTGAATATTTGTTTATTCATTGACTCAATGACATTTTTCAATGAGGGAGAAGTAGATGTACATTTAAGAATTATTTACCTAGGTATTTGAGCTTCTTTGTGTAAAAATCATACCAGACAGGCATTCTTATTCAAATGTGGGGGATCTTCTCGCAAATTCAGACCAAAATGATGTGTGTGTGACACCAGTGGGTCACTTGTGGCTGGGAGGCAGATTTCTGACACTGCTGCACACATTCCTACCAGATTAAGCAGCAGCACAGATTAATGGAGGGCAGAGCTCAAATTCACCATCTGAAATGGTTTGAATGGTATTCTGGTTTGCTGCAGGTGAAGAACAGACATTGAGACATTGAGGTGTGCTGTTTCTTCAATCTTGCGCTTTTAAAAAGTAGCAATAATATCTAGGTGTGACTATAGAACGTTCCCCCCCTAATTGGGGCATTTAAGGACGGGCATTTCTAGAGAAGTGGAGGGCTATAATTGTAATATTCGGTGGGTAAAATGTGCGCTTAAATTCAAGAATGTCATGTTAACCTTTATTTCTTGTCACTTGTCAGGGTGTTTAGACATGTGTGTGTTTGGAGCTACATGTTCCCATGGCCCTTGTAGGCTTAGTCTAGCTTTAATCAGCTCAAGGACCTGGCCTCTCGTCCTGCTGCTGAGATCAGCTCTAACCTGAAGGTTAAGAGGATCCACGAGTCGCTCAGGCTGCTAGAAGGGGCCATTTGGGAGAGAGGGAATCTGTTTGGTAGCTGCTCTTCCTCTTATCAATTGACGATAGATTGATCAACATTGGGTGTGAAGGTATCTTGTGATGACATTTACTCAAAGGACTAATCAGAGGCTTTGCATGTTTGAGCCAAATAAATACCTTCTTCATTTCCCAAAGTATGCAGCCATATTTTTGATTTTGCAATGTTATGCTGAATTGGACGACACCCCCCTCTTAATTGATTCACTCACTAATTGTTTTGTTTTGGTCAACATATATTTCTTTAGTTGATTAATACATTTAAATCCTTTTTTTCATGCCCAATAACTTATTTTCAAGAAACCTATGAGCACACTTACCAATGACCTGGAACTGGTGCCTTTGCATCTTTGTAGGGATACAAAGTTTTACAAAGCTGTTGTTTAAAATATTCTTGTAATACACCTCACCTTACATTTTGTCGGCCAGCTAACCAAAAAACATAAATTCAAATACCTACAGGTAAAAGTACATGTAATTATAAGTTATGATAATTGCTTATGAAACAATCTTTTTACTGTAGTCGGAAATCCTCATCTTGATGCACTGTCTGACACATACTTGTAAAACTGGTAGGTCTGTCTTTGACTTAGCGCTAGAAAGAGTAGTAGACTGATTATAGTATTTGCCAGCAATATTTACAATTAATTAATTAATTGATTCATAATGTCATTTCAGCATGCCACAGAACAACTGGTATTGACATTTTTCACTATTTCCTGCCATTGTTTTTTTATCAAATGATCTTGAAAAAAATCAACCGATAAGCAGAATAATGAAAAATATCTTCAGTTGCAGTGCTAGTTCTATGTGCTTTTGTGACGTTTTAACTGTCTTCCACTTAACAAATTGGTGTTACAGTGCAAAACTGGTGCTTTGGTACTTTAAAGGGGACCTATCATGCAAAATGCACTTTTTGATGTCTTTTATACATCAATATGTGTCCCCGGTGTGTCAGGGAACTCACGCAGCGTCATAAAATAAAACCCTCTCTCTTTTCCTCCGTACCCAAATCTCTAAAAACGGGGGTACAACGGAGCTGATCCAGATTTGCGGCCGATATGACGTAATATCTGAAATGTGGACCCACGGCACTATCAGAAAGTTGCTATCAGAAACAATGCCCGACTGTTTTGGACGTAATATGGTCGGTGTTTACATTAGCATCGCTAACACTCAGAGCTAACCTGTACTGGAGAGCATGTGTGTGAAGAAGCAGGAAATAAAAAGGAACTCACCTTGTGGTATAACCGGCAAGAGAGAAAGCCTTTGAGCTCCATACTGTTTCAGAAATAATCCTTGATAATCCATGATATGACGTGTCATCACCGTAGTATTTAGTTTAGACAGTAGCTGCCGGGTCCCATGCATGAGCTCAGCCCCCTCCTTTTTTTTGTTATCAATCTTTTTTTTTTTTAAAGCTTTATACCCCAAATCAGCACTTTTGAAACAGGAAGTGAAATAGAGGGATATGAGGCATGGCTAGAATGGGTGATCTGTTTGGTATTTTGAGCAAAACACTTCATGTTTTTAATATATTTTTATATATCTGAGACCTATGCTATTGCCTAACAATAGCATGATAGGTGCACTTTAAATATCAGGTGTGAGTGCTTAACTGTGAACATTCTTGAGGTATGAATGTTTTTGTATGAAATGGTAATTCTCAGAAGCTCTATTTTAGTTTTAGAAGAATTTATTTAATTTTAATCTCACTAGTGATTTTGGCTGAGTAGGTGTGCAAAGGCAGAAGTCAGGTGTGTGTTTGTGTGTGTGTGTGTGAGAGAGAGAGGATGTGCTGTGTGTGATCCTGTGCCTGGATAATCTATATATCGTGAGGCCTCTCGCTCTATCAGTGTGTCTTTGATATATGATCCTCCGTCAGGGCCCCTGCAGCTGAGACGCTCATAATCATGTCCCCTGATATAAATCAAACCCTTGTTTGCAGCACGCCGACAGGATGGACAGATTACCACTACGCCTCTTTTTCATGTCTGTCTCAAAGTTATGCCTCTGGGGAACTGTGTGGCTAATTCAACTCTGACTAATAGAGTGTCTTCAACTAATGATTGTTTTCATTAGTAGGAGATATAGATTTGATCTTGGGTTTCATTTATGTCATTTGGCTTGTGACTGAACTTCTCTTGCTTTAAGTCAAACTCAAGGTGTTTTAGAAGTGCCACTTACCTTTCAGGATGTAAAGCTCTGCCTCAGAGGGTGTGTGTTACTCCCTCTCCTGCTCACTCAGATACAAGGCAAG